TCAGGGTGGGTCTCCAAGGTGAGCCTGGGTGGCCCCCGCCCCCGCCTTGTCCCCTTACCCAACCTGCAACCGCAGTCGCGGTCTCTGCCAGACCCACCGGTCCGGTCCCACCCCGCCTACCCCGCCCAGCCCCATGACTGTCCCGTTTCGGCCCTATCTCTTCTCTTACGTGTGCGGAGCTTGCACGCAGACGACCGACAACCCCACGCGATTGTCTTGCCAGTCGAGCCCCAATGGGTGACCACGCCCTGGCCCGGTCCGGCACGCCTGCAAGCCAGCGGGTGCGGCTGCGGCGGTTATAGGGAAGCGGTGGCGGCGGCGGTGGCGGCAGCGGTGGTGGCTGGTGGGTTCTATAATAGGCACTGACATTGCTCGCTGTGCTCACTGCTCAGTGCCCCCGGTGCCCCCCCGGCGCGGCGCGTGCTCGTGCTCAGAATGGCCGAGTCGTCCCATCAGCAAGCAAGCACCTCACCTCACCGAAAACATAAAACATGCAAGATTTGCAAGAAACTGCATATGCGTCCGCTGTAATTTCCCACAACAAATAGGGGTTGAGGGTTGAGAGGAGGGTTGGGAGAGGGGAGCGCTGGAGTTAAGGCGGTTCAGGGGGCTCTGGTATGTGCTGCTGCAGTCTATAGTTTAGTGGTTGAGCTGGTCCGTGCCCCCGTTGTTCCAGCGCCGAGCAACCCTTCCCAATCGTAGAGGAACCCGGCACCCCGGCAGGTCAGAGGCAGCTCAGACCCACCAGCCCCGACCTCTTCGCCCCAACGTCGCCCCGCGGGGCAGACTGTAAGCCGCACTTCGTTGTGCGTTTGGTACGCGCGTTGTTATCACCATCGTGAAGCGAGCCGCCCCGCCCCGCGCTGCCCCGCCCCGCCCCGCCTTGTTACATACATACGTCTAGCGCGATAGGGAACACCCAATCCCCGTGCTGCTGCAAAGACAAACTACTCAACGCTACGCATCTTGTGCATCGCGGCTTGCTATTTACCTTCCTCCGGTGCTGCCCGCGTCCCGTCCCGTCAGGTCGGCGCGCGCCGGCCGGTGTCGCCGGTGTCCTCCGCGCGCTCTGTGTCTCGTGTGTCGGCCGTGTCGGCTTCGGCCCTTCCCTCCCCATCGGCTCCCCGAGGGCTGCCGCCAGGCTGCCGCTCATGGTCACCAGCCTGGTGCCTGCTGGTGGGCTGGGTGCGCGGCGGGGTGCGCGGCGGGATGCGCGACGGGGTGTCGGTGTCCTTCGTCGATCAGGTGGTGATGGTGGTGAGGATGGTGGTGAAGGTGCGCCAGGTGGTGTGGGTCGAGGTGATGCCCTTCGACGTGGTGGCCAGCACCGTCGGCGGGGTGTTGCCCGGCCTCTACCTTCACGTGACGCACATCGATGTGGTGGCCTTCGAGGCGGTGGCCCTCTAGGTGGCTGCCCTCGAGGTGCGGAGTGTCCGACAGCGTGACGGTCTGGCCCTCACCCTCCGTGATGCTGAGGCTGAGCGCCGCCGAGGCCGCTGCGTTGGCGGCCAGCCGCCGCCGCCTCTCGCGCTCGCGCTCCCTCTTCCGCTCCAGGACTGAGGGGTCTGTCCCGAGCTTACGCCGCCGCTCCCGCTCGCGCTCGCGTTTCCGCTCTAGCACGGCTGGATTGGACTCGAACAGGCGTCTCTTGAGCTTCATCAGCTCCATGGCCGCGGGATCCTGCTCCAGACGGCGGCGCCGCTCACGCTCGCGCTCCCGCTTGCGCGCCAGCGCTTCGGCGCTGGTCCCCAGTCGCCGCCGGCGCTCCCGCTCCTTCTCTCGCTTGCGCTCCAGTGCCGAGGGGTCCTGCTCCAGGCGGCGCCGGCGCTCCCGCTCCAGGTCGCGCTTCCTCGCGAGCGCCGCCGGGTCTGCCTCGATGCGGCGACGTCGCTCCCGCTCCCGCAGCCTCTTCCTCTCGAGCGCCGCCGGGTCCGTGCCGTGCATCCGCCGCCGCTCCCGCTCGCGCTCCCGCTTCCGCTGCATCGCCGCTGGGTCCGTGACGAGGCGCCGACGCCGCTCCCGCTCGCGCTCCCTCTTGACCGCCAGCGCCACGGGGTCCCTGGCGAGGCGCCGCCGCCGCTCCCGCTCCCGCTCGCGCTTCACGCGGAGCATGGCCTCGCGCCGCGACTCGGGCGAGCCTTCGTCGTCGAGGGACGGCTGCCCGTCCAGCGAGCTCCCGGCCAGCGGGTCCAGGTGGTGGCCGTGCACCGCGTCGTGCTCCGCGTGCTCCGCGTGCTGCGCGTGTTGCGCGTGGCCCACGTGCGCGGGGCCAGCCGGGTGGCCGTGCACGTGCAGCCCATGCAGCCCGTGCAGGCCGTGCAGGCCATGCAGGCCGTGGACCAACCCCGACGGATAGGGGTAGGGCTCGCCGCTCGGCATGCCGTTCATGTTCCTCCCAGGCTCTCAGACACACAGAGACACAGAGCGCCCCGCTCCTCTTCTACGCCGCGGTTCGAGCGTCGCGACTGGAATTGAAATAATAGTTCTACGTGATTACATTGGCATGGTGAATGACAGGGCCAGCAGCAGCAGAAGATGTCAAGTATTTGTAAAAGTGAACGGCGAGTTTCTGCTTCCATAAGTGGCGCAGGAACGACTGAACTACCTGGCCACCACGTCTCCCTCAACCCCCTGTACCTCATGCCATACCCCGCTCCCCACCACCTTCCCCTCGTGCACACACTCCTAATGCTACCACCACGGCACCCTCCCCGCTACCACGCCCTGAACGCCCAAGCTGACTCAGGCTAGAATGAAGCAGCGTCGAGTTGACGAGACTGTTGTGGGAGTATACAAACTCAGTGCGCCCTCCCCACCGCCCACCGGGCATGCGGGCGGTGAGTGTGTGAGTGGTGTGGGCGAAGAGGGGCAGGAGGCGGAAGCTGAGCCAAATCGCCACTTGAAAACTAATAGCTGATTTGCAACTCATTTGCCTGTCTCAGACGGCGTGCAGACAGTTGCCGAGTGTTCAGGCATAAGCCAGCCGGCATCAGAGGCAGACTAGCTCAGAGGCACAGCGACCGCCCACTGGGCCCGATGTAGGACCTAAAGGATATTTTTCTTTTTCTTTCTTCTTTCTTTTTTGTTGAACCCTTCTCGAGACGAATGCGTGTGCGTGCGTGTCTGTGCATGCGTGCGTGTTTGCCTGAGCGTCTGTATGTGTATAGGCGTGTGTGTGTGTGTGTGTACATGTGAGAGGGAAAAGGTGAACGTGTGTGTGTGTACATGTGTGAGTTGGTACGTATGAGAGTGGATAGTGTGTGTGTGAGAGAGAACTCCTCTGTGCGTGTGCGTGCATGTGTGTGCGTGTCTGCGCCTGTGTGCGAGCGGTTGAAGGGGAAGGGAGGTTGCGTGTATGTCTGGTGCGTTCGTGCGTGCGTGCGCGCGTGGGCCCGAGGGGATCGAAATAAGAGAGAAAGAAAAGCAAAGGCGCACTAGTGGAAGTATCCAGCCCGCTGCGGAGGGGGATATAGGATAGGCGGGAGGGGGGGGGGTGTAATAAGGGGCAGCTGCTGATATACGGGGACGATCGGAGAAATAATTAAGGCAAGTTAAGCCGCAATGGCGTTGTGCCCGGCGGCGGGGCCGATGAGGTGCTGGCGCCGGCGCGTACTCTGTGACCATACCGGGCGGGTACAGTACCGCGAACGCCCCATGCGTGACTTGGAACCGCGGGGCTCCAGAGAACCACCGCTTTGAGTCAGCTCGATTTTAATCCCGCGAGATCGTCGTCGTCGCCCCACAACCGACCTGCGAGGGCGAGGCGAGGCTGGCAGCAAACCCTGAACCGCAGGAAAGGGAGGGGCTGCGTGTGCGCGCGTGCGTGCCTGGGTATGTGTGTGCGTGACTGCGTGTGCGTGTGTGTGAGTGCGCGGACGTGCCTGCCCGCTGTGCGTGCCTGCTGTGCGTGCGTGCGTGTCATGTCTGGCGGGGCGGGGCCGGGCCCAACGGCTATATCCCCCACCCCCACCCCCCACTCCCCCGCTCCCTGCGGGTCTATCAGGACGCTGCTGGAACACTCTTCACCGACGAGCTCAGAGTACATACCAGCCTGGGCGGGGAAATGAGAGGGACAGAGAGAAAGACAGAGTGAGAGTCAGAGAGGGAGACAGAGAGGAGTCATAGAACAGAGTGATAGACAGAGAGACAGTGGGAGATAACCGGTGCACGCGCACGCGGAGGGCTGGTGGATGGCCGGCTGAGTAGCAGTGACCCATGTCTGAGTCTGAGAGGGTCGCGACGTTCAACGATAGGGGACGTTTACGGCCGCTAAACAGACCGCGGTGTGGGAGTGGGCTCCATATACTCGTAT